TCTCTCTCTCTCTCTCTCTCTCTCTCTCTCTCTCTCTCTCTCTCTCTCTCTCTCTCTCTCTCATACCTGAATCCCATCTCTCATACCTGAATCCCATATCCCACAAAGAGCTTAACGATCTCGACCGCGTCGATGTCCTCGAGGTTCATCACCGTCACCGTCGAAGCAAAACCGGGCACTTTCGTTACCAGGCACACGTGCCAGTACCTGGAATGACAGAAAAAAAAGAAACACGATTAGCGCAATCAATCGTAAAATTCCATTTATGTCATTGACACCATCGCCGCGGCGCCACATGGAAAGGGGCGAAACAAGCGGCCGCAGGTGAAAAGGAAGCACAGACACCGCCCGTCGAATACGGCCGCTTGTTTGAGATCCGATGCAGCGCTGCGGGCAGCAGGAAGGAGGTGGTCGCCACCCGTTGTAAGGGGGGTCGCAGATTGGATGTCTGGGGTTGGTTTGGGGGGTCCCGTGTCTGTAGACCAAGTGAGACCAACAAGACGGTTCGCTCGGTTCACCATAACCCAATCAGATTTCAAGACAACGAGCCCAAGCATGCACAGACAAGACACCAGACAAGGAAACATAACACAACTCCCACCCCCCAACCTCGCACCCCCCGCACCCTGGACGCAAAGAGTTGGCGAAATAACCCCCGTTTTCTCGAGAAAGCGTGCAAATAAGAGAAGAGGTGACAACGCGACACGCTACGCTCCCTCGCTTGTGTTCTCTTCCCCCAACCGCCCCACCAAACCCCCCGACGCCTTTCTGCACTTCTGTCTGCCCTACCAACCCCCCGACGCCTTTCTGAACTTCTGTCTGCCCTGCCAATCCCCAGACGCCTATCTGCAGACCATTTCTGCGCTCGTCCTGCTTTATCTTCTTTTTAAACGTCCGCGACATCTTGTGACTCACGTGAGGTAAAGGTACCCCGGCCGGCGGTTGCAGATGATCGAGCAGAAGTACACGGGGGTCTCGACGTTGGGGTCGATCCCAGCCTCGGGTCGGCTCTGCATGACCCTGCTAAACGCCGCCGTCATCCTCGATCGACGGACCTGTGCCGTCGAGACCAACAACCCGCAACGGTGGGCGTGTCGCGGGTGGTGTCGGTGTTGATGACGTTGTCCGTGGTGTGGCGTGCAGCACCGCGTGCAGAGAGCGAGAGAGAGAGCGAGAGAGAGAGAGCGAGAGAGAGAGAGCATACATGCCGTTTGTTTCAACAGGGCAGGACACGGCAAATATAAGCGAAACAGAGAGGGGCGCAGAACGGTGGTTTGGTGCGCGTTTCACAATCATATCTAGCATCGACCGTGTTAACCGGCCGAACAAAATGCCACCAGAAGGCCAGGAGGCAGAAACCCGAACGCAAATGCAGCACGCAACAATCTCGAAGCACATAAAATGTTCACTAAAAAAAAAATAGTACTAAACTGACCGCCATGTGTCCGTCGCGAAGAGCTTGGAACAGCTCTCGTTGATAGAGCTGGGAGCGCGATATTCGTTGCATAACCTGGACAAATATTGCAAGGAGACCAACGGACATGGACACAACCAAGGTAACAAGTCAGAAAAAGAGACGAGGAGGGGGGGGGGGCG